ACTCTCTAAGAGCACGGACCGATCTAACTTAATAATTTCTACACACACAAAAATAGGTATAAGTGGACACACCACTACGCTAGACAAGGGGCAGTGCCTAGCGAGAGACACGCAGCTCAGGGCGGCACTACTAGTCCAACCTCTGAGGCAAAGGTCTAAAGACCACTTAGCAAGAGTACAAGCTAAGCAAGAGTACCTCAGGGCGGCACTACTAGTCCAACCATTGGAACAAGAGCCACAAGGCTAGTCAAGATAATCTAAGGAGCTGTACACAATCAGGGTCCTAACAAGTGAGGAGCTACTGGAACTAGACCAAGCTGTACACAGTGCCGCTAATGATCTTTAGGCGCAAGCGCCTTAGTAAAGATATCAGCTATGTTGGCACCGGAGCCCAAGTTCACTACGCGAACCTGGCAGCGTTGCTGTAGCTGGATGTGCTTCGCTCTGCCCTCTAGTCGAAGCTCCTGATACAGTAGGATCATGGCCCTGTTGTCAGTGTACAGGTTCGGGGCAGAGCTAGGCCACTCACCTTAGTCTGTGAGCAAGAAAGTCAGCCAGCGGAGCTCCTAAGCCGCCATGGCACCAGCGTGGATCTCAGCCTCAAAGATGGACTGGGCAACAGACGACGAGCGGGTGGACCTCCACGAGATGGCACCTGCACCAAGGCTAAAGCAGTAGCCCTGGGAGGACCTAAGAGTCTCAGCGTCGTCCACCCACGAAGCGTCGGTGTGCCCTGTGAGAACCACTGGCATGCGTCCTCCTAGCACTAGCACCATGCCAGATGTACTTGCTAGATAGCGCAAAACCCTCGTAGCAGCCGACGAGTACTGTGGTCGGTGTCTGCCTGTCGCCACAAAGAGAGCCATGATACTAAGAGGGCATGCGAGATCTGGACGAGTGCAAGTCATCAGGTACATGAGACATCCCACAAGCTTTACGTATGGACCACTGGGCTCAACCGACTTGTCAGGGACTGGAGCCGAGAGCATGTGATCTACTTGCAGGGTCGAACCTCTGAAGGACGTGGTGCACCAAGTGTGACTGTGTGAGAGTGATGGTGCGCGCTACTCTGTCCCTGGAAATCTGCAGCCCAAGGTAGCGGCACATCTCTCCTAGGTCAGTGCAGGTTTGTCTCCTCAGCAGCTCGGCCTTCACCAAGGCCAGTACGTCTCCGTCTGCAGTAGCGAAGTCCAGGTTGTCTACGTAGACTAGGATGTAGAACGGATTTTGGCCTGAGCGAACGAAGAGCAAAGGGTCAGCATAGGATGGAAAGAATTGCAGGCCAGCTAGCATAGCACGCAGCATGTTGTGCCACTCCCGAGGCGCCTACCGCAGACTGTAAACTGGGTGCCGAAGGAACCACTCGGTCCCAGGATGTAAAGTGTCAGAGAAGCCTGGCGAGCAGTGCAGGTAGATCTGCTCATGCAAACTGCCCTGGAGAGACGCTGTGGAGAAGTCGAGGAAGTGCACCTTGTAGTCAAGGGAGTGCAGCCCTTAGTCGCGCTGTGCTGCTATGTGAAGCAACGCCCAAAGGCTGGTCATCTGCGGGGTCGGGGCAAAGGTCTGAAAGAAGTCAACACCCTCGCGCTGACTGACGCCTCTAGCAACGTAGCGCGCCTTGAACACCGGTGGCTCTCCAGGAGGGCGCTTCACCTTGAAGAGCCATCGGTCATGGACTATGTTCGCCCAAGGTGGGGGAACTGCGTCGACGTAGGTGCCGGTGGATCTCCAAGATGCAATCTCTACGTCCATGGCAGCTATCCACCGAGAGGCCCAGGGTCCCAAAGTCGCCACAACGTAGGTGCGAGGGTTCGGGATGTCAAGAGCGTCTAGGTCACCCTCAGGGACTAGCAGCATGAAGCAGAGATGAGGAGCGGTCTCGGACAGGAAAGCTAGCTCGTACTGCCTGCCCTCTAGGACCTCACTGCCAAGGGTAGGTGCACTCCCGACGGACGGAGGATGGGCAGGGTCAGAGATAAGAGCGGTGGCGTAGTCAAGGCAGCAAGTAGAGGCAAAGTCAGTGATGGCAGCGACAAGAGCTGAAAGACTACAGACAGGAACGGACGGGTCGGTGACAAGAGAGGCGAGGACCCGAGGAACAAGAGGACTAGCAAAACGGAGAAAGTCAAAGAGAGGAGGCGGAGAGACAGCAAGGGATGACTGGCGAGGCGACGGGAGAAGAGGAGCACAAAACGCGTAAGAACGGAGCAACATAGGGTGAGAACGCTGAACCGGGGAGACAGGACGAGCACAAGAGGAACGGAGAGACCAAAAGTGGGAGGAAGGCATCATGTCAGGAGGCAAAGGAGGAGACACAAGAGGAGAACAAGGGGGGAAACAAGTTGGGGACAAGTCCGGTGAAGGAAACACAGGGCCGTAGACAGGCAGAGGAGGCGGCACCGGGGGAGGCGCGGGTAGGAGGTCGGGGGAGGGAAGACAGAGGAGGCGAAGGGCGGACACCGGCGGCAACTGCTGCTGCTGCTACTCCATGCCCACACTAGAGTCTCCAGCTGCACCACGGCTACTTCTGGGACTCTTCATGACAGCACCCTCAGGACGAGCACCCCCAGAAGTAGAACCCTCTCCATCACTCGCGCCACCCCCAGGACTGCCGGGACTAGCCACGACAATACCCCCAGGACTAGCACCCCCAGAACAAGCACCCCTAGAACCAGCACCCCAAGGACCAGCACCCTCCTCAGCGCCCACACTCCCAGCACCCCCAGAGCTCGCTGAACCATGCAGCCGTGGCGGCTGCTCCTGCGGCGGAGGAGACACCAGGGCCGAGGGTGCAGGCACCATAAAAAAAGGCGGCGGACCCTGAGCCGCAAGGCCCTCAGAGTCAGCAGACTCCTCCGCCAGGGCAACCGAGGGTAGGGGAGTGACGTGAGATACACCAGACGGGGCAGGATGGGGTGAAGGAGCTACCGGGGGAGTGGGATCAAGGAACAGGGGTGGGGTGACCGGAAGACCTTGGTGGGGGAAGCAGGTAGAGAAGGGGACACACTTGTCGAAGGTGACGTCACGCGAGTGAAAGAAACGGTGAGTCGGCGGGTGGTGGAACTGATGGTCAGACGCGTCCAGGGGGAAGCCAAGAAAGATACAAGGGACGGTGCTGGCAGTGAGCTTGTCCGCACGAGAGTCGCGGACATGAGCTAGGTAGTCCCAGACGTGAAACGCAGACGCGTCACCAGGGGACCCGGTCCAGAGGAGTATTGATGAAACATGCGGCCAATGGGAGTGTGGCCACAGGTTAAGCTGGTGAGCGGCGTAGCGCACTACGAACAGCCACAAAAAATGTGGTGCACCGGCATGGATCATGGAGGTATGAGCCACCTCTTTGACTAAACCAATGCGTTGCTCAGTGACCCCATTCAGCTGTGGGGAGTCCAGCAATGTGTACGACTGGCGGATGCCCTCCACCCCACGGATTTGGCCAAGCCGAACGGAGGCGAACTCACCGCCCTGATCGAAGTGGAGGTAGAGCACGGGCAGGGCGCGGTGGACTCGCGCAGCTACAAGCCACGGGATAAGAACGTAAGGCACATCAACCTTCCGCTCCAGGGGAAACACCGTGGTGTAGCGCGTGCACTAGAAAGTAGCGCTGGCGACGCGGCACAGGAACGGGGACTGGGCCCCAGACGTCCAAGTGCAGGGTTTGGAATGGTGCAGTGGTGGGGGGAAACGAGGAGGAGTGAGGAGCATGGCGCAGCTGGCCCTTGATGCAAGGCTTGCATGGGGGCACGTGCGAGGGAGGGAGACAAAGAGCGACGCAGGATCCACTCAGAGTGGAACCAGAGTGGAGCTGGCGGGAACTGGGGCCGGCGCGAGCAGGGGCCGGCGAGCTGGGGTCGGGGAGCAGGGGCCAGCGAGCTAGGGCCGGCACGAGCTGGAGCCGACGGGAGCTGGGGCCGGCGAGCTGGGGCCAGCAAGCAGGGGCCGGCAAGCAGGGGCCGGCGGGAGCTGGAGCCGGCGGGGGCTGGGGCCGGCGAGCTGGGGCCGGCAAGCAGGGGCCGGCGAGCTGGTGCCGTCGCGAGTTGGGGCCGGCGAGCTAGGGCCGGCGAGCTAGGGTTGGCGAGCAGGGGCCGGCGAGCGGAGCCAACGAGCGAGGGCCGGCGAGCTCGGACTGGCGAGCTAGGGCCAGCGAGCTCGTGCCGGCGAGCTAGGGCCGGCGAGCAGCGGGTCGCGGGCGAGCTAGAGGCCAGCGGCAGGCTAGGAGCCGCACGGCGCGCGAGGGGTCACGCAGCATGCAAAAGGCCAGCGGACGGGCTAGGGTGGCGCGTCGGGACTAGGGCGGGCTAGGGCGGAAGCGCGGGTGGGTAGACCTTACCTAGCTGATACCATCTCAGAATAACGCATGGAATAGAAATGAGGGATACAGGGGAATATATGGTTGGGTGTTGTACTCTCTAAGAGCACGAACCCTTCTAGCCTATAACTGCTACATAAACAAATATGTTTAAGTTGACATAAAAACGCGAACAAATTTTTGGCCATCGATCTGCAAGAGACATGATTGAACGGCTACTTCTGGGTCGTGACATGTGGTTGCGATAGAATGAAACATCTGGAAGTAGGACCGTCAGATTTATATCTTGAAAATTTAACGGCTGTGGCACGTGAACACTTTGAGGTTCCAAATTGCAGCACGCACTGAACTTGACAATACCCACCCCCCCCCCCCCCACCCCCCCATACCCCCCCCATACCCCCCCCAAACCCCCCAGCAAAACAACTCACGTAACCCTCGCCCCAGCCCCCTTCAAACGCAGTGCGTTTGAGGACCGCGGTACGCGGCTTGCAATTTGGAACGCGACTTTAAATTCTAGAACGTCCTCAGGATATATGTGAATGGATACAGTTGTCAAGAGGCACGCTGGGGTTGCCCTTGAGATCCTCGAGGAAGGGTCACTCACAGGTGCAGAGCCTGGGGGGTTATGCGCGCTCTTACTTACCCGCTACTTAACAAGCCATTTTTACTCAGTGGTTAGTGACTGAGTTCTGACAACAGTATCACTTAGAGCAGGATTTGATGAGGTGGTGGCCCTCGGACACTAACATGTCAAGTTTCAAAGAGCCACACTCGAAATTTAATGTGTCTGTCACTAAATCTGAAGTGGGTCCTTAGAAGGGCCCTATTGAATCATCTGCCACTTCTCTGACAGCGAATGCACAAGGCTCCTGGAAGCAGACAATTCTACACTTGTTCCCCCGGACAACCCGCTCCTCCCAAACGTGTCCCTGTCCCTGCTGCTGCCCTCGCCACCCGCAGGCCTCCTCCCCTCCTTGCGCAAGCTGGGCTCGGCCAGGGAGGAGTGGCTGTGGGCGGCGCAGTGGAGCTGGAGGAGGTGGTGCAGGCGGCGCGCGACGTCCTTCATGTGGGGGCGGCGGGAGGCGGGCATCTTGAGGCAGTCGAGAGCGATGTCTGCCAGCTCCACCACCGCCTCGTCCGGCGCCTCCAGACTCGCGTCCTTCAGCGCGCCCAGCTCGTACCCCTGCACCTTCTTAGCAGCCTGGCAATGGGAGAGGGCAGGGGGTGAATAAGGGAGGGCAATGGAACACCCAGCTCGTACCCCTGCACCTTCTGAGCAGCCTGGCAATGGGAGAAGGACGGGGAGGGGGGTGAGGGGTGGGGCCGGGAGGTGAGGGGGAGGGGGGTGTGCAGTATAGGGTCACTGGAATGGGGAAGTCGTGGCAGTGGATGAATCCAGCCGAGTCTCGAGGCTCGTATGAAGGGGGCGAGCCGGGGGGTTGCGTGAGTCGAGCCGGCCCTAGGCTTGATGAGCCGGCCGGCTCGTGGGCCAAACTTGACCAGCCAGTGTCTGGCACGCCATTTCGCCGACCGATCTGCCCAAACTGCATTCCCCCCCCCCGCCCCCCCCCCCTCCCCCCTTGGGGCGCTAGTCGTCAGCAAACCACGACGGAACTCGTCAATGCGCTTCGCAAAGCGAACAGCTTGCGGCTCGCCGAGCAGGCAACGGGTAGCTCGAATCAAACTGACCGACTGGGCTTGGCAGCTGCCTCCCACAAGATGGGCCGGCCGACCTGAGCCGCGGCTAAGCCAATTGCCAACTATAGAATGTGTAATGTTCTGTGCTTCGCGCGTGCCACGTGTAACACACCTGGCACTCACGGCAACTCACCCAGTCGCTGATATGGGTGTCTGTGCCCTCCACTGCTGGCTTCTGCTTTGTCAGCAGCTCAAGCAGCACCACGCCAAAGCTGAGATACCCGGGTGGTTTGTTTGACAGGGGTAGGAAGAGGAGGGGAGAGGAGAGCACCAACAGAGGAGTGCTTTGAGTACGAAGAGCCGGTGAAGGTCTAATGAGGTGAGGTGAGGGCAAGGATTGGTGTACGAAATGCTGCAAGGGATGGGATGAGGTGCTCCATTTCATACTGCAATATCTGTTGTTGGCTATTCTGACAACATGAAAGCCCACCTGTAGACATCGCTCTTTTCCGAGACCAGATTCGTTCGGTTGTAATCAGGGTCCACGTAGCCTGGGGTGCCGGCCACTCGAGTGCGGTCGTCGCCGCCGTCTGCATGGCTGAGCAGCTTGAGCAGCCCAAAGTCGGCAATCTTGGCCTGGTTGTGCTCCCCCACGAGGATGTTGCCGGGCTTGAGGTCGCGGTGCACGATGGGCGTCGCGAAGCTGTGCAAATAGGCCACTCCCTCCGCTGCGCCCACCGCCAGCTGCACCCGCTGCTGCAGGGACAGGGGGGCTGGGGGGGAGAGACGGGGGGAGGGGAGAGAGACACAGAAAAAAAGGAAAAAAATTGGTTAAGTGGACATGGGAAAGCAACATAGCAGGGAGCACGTGGCAATGTGTATGAAAGCAGAAGGTATGACCATATTTCCCGTGAGAAAAAAACTGATTTCGGGAAACACTGTGGTAACCACCATGCTAAAAGGGCATGCATCCACAGCCCCCCCAGCTCCTCCCTAAGATCCCTAGGTCAACAACGCCAATGCCTCCTTCCAATACCTGCCTCATTGGGGTAGGCCTCGAACACGGGCATCCCAACTGTGCTGCCCTAGAAACCTAGCCCGCTCTGATACCATGGGTTTAGGATTTAGGTCATGAGTGAGGCACTCAGCTGGAAATACATAAAAAGATGGTAAGGGGAATGTCAATTCGATAGAAGATGGGTTAACAAATGGCATACTCTTGGAGTCATGGATGTGGTGCTTGAGGTCCCCATTGCCCACGAACTCGTACACGAGGATCTGCTCCTGCTGGCCGCTCTCCACGTTCTGATGCAGGCAGAAGCCCAGCAACCGCACCACATGCTCGTGCCGCAGCGATGCCATCGCCCGCACCTGCATGAAACATTGGGGGCCACGGGAGATCCGAACGAGCAGAGGACTCATGCGGCAGCGACGCCATCACCCGCACATGACAGTTACAGGATCGCTAGTGGGGAGGGAGCAACCAGAGGAACCAGGGGCTTTTGAGGCCAACAACAAAAAGAACAATCTGATTGAATGCCGGGAGGGGCCACCACTCTGTGTTGGAACTGATTCAGCTGTGTCCTTCCATCTCACCTCGTTATCGAAGTCGTTGGACATGAGTACATCAAGTTCCTTACACAACACCAAAAACCAGACTGCATTGCCCCCACCCACCTCAGTCTCGAAGTCGTTGGACATGAGCTTGCTGCGCTTGACGGCCCACAGCTCGCCCGTGCTGGATACCCCCTTGTACACCGTGGCAAAGCCACCCTTCCCCACCATATTGGAACCCGCCCAGTTGTCCGTTGCCCGCAGAATCTCCCCAATGCTGAACTCCCGACACACGTCCAGGCCGCTCCACCTCCCTGCCACACGGGGAACACCAGGTAACTTTAACAGCATGGGTTGCCCAATGTTTCACACACGGATGTTCCTGCTTCCTTCAAAATTGTGCTTGAGTTAGGTGGATATTGATGAACGGTTGGGTGGTGAAGGGGGGGAGCGGCTCCACAATGAGAGGATGGCCTAGTGTAGTGTGGCAGTGAAAGAGGGGGGGTGTGGGAGGGATGGGGTGCGGGGGCTCACTGCGTTGCTTGGGCCAGAGCAGCGCCACTATGAGAGCGAGGAGGAGAGCAAAGGTGGTAGCAGAGCCCACAGCGATGCCCACCACTGCGCCTGTGGAGAGTGCTGGAGAGGAAAGAAGCAGGAAGAAAGCATTGGAAGGGGAGAGGCATTTCACACGCTGCACCCACATTCGCAAGCAACAAGAACCTTTGTACTACCCGATTCCAGGATTGTTAGCGCCATGAAAACCATGCTACCAAGGCAAGCCAAACCACCGTGACCTTGTTTCACACGCGGTGGAAACTGGGCGTTTCTTTAGTCTATCCTTCTACCTTTCTTGGAGGCTAAAGCAACACACCTGCAGGGGGGGGCGGGGAAGGGCGGGCGCAGGTGGAGCCGAGGGCGCCATTGGCAGTGACGTATCCGTGGTCACACTCACACGTGAACCCCGCCCCTGCTGCCCCCGGCTGCGGTGTCACACACGCTCCGTGCCCGTCGCACGGCCCCAGCTCCCGCGACATGCTGCAGAATGCCAGGCACGCGTCGCTGCTGCGCTGCGTCTCATTCGCAGTGCACTCCAGCTGCGCGCTCAGCGTGAAGCAGTTCTGCCGCAGACTCGCCGCGCCTCGCTTGTTGGCCCCTGCTTGTGTCACCTCAACAAATCTTGAGATCGTCTGAGGTACACAGCGGCCACCAGAAGAGCGGCCGAAGTCGCCGGATTTCAACACCAGGGGCTGGACAATCTCGGAGGGGCAGAACTGACAGCCATCAGCGTAGAGCATGGGGTCGCCGTAGAAGTAGTTGCCTGCGATGTTGAGCAGAGCGTAGTTGTCGGGAATCATGCTGCGGAAGTTGGTGTTGATGGGCCCGTAGAAGCTGTTGTTGCTGATGTCACTGGGGCATGGTACGCGCAACGAGGGGCAGCTAAGAGGGACGTGAAGAGCAAGCACCATCATGATCTAGAGAAAGAAAAATCGGGCATGCAGATGGGTGAAACTTGAAAGAGGCAGCGGCACCACTCACATCCTGTGCAAACAATTCTCGAAGAGGCAGGAAGGAAAACTCCCAAAAAGGTAGTTGTTGCGGAGAAGCCTGGGGAAGGGGAGAGAGAGGAGGAGGAGGATGTGTCAGGATGAAAATGAATCATTGCTGGCTGTAACGAATTTGCTAACGGTTTTCACATGCACATGCACGGGCAAGAGAAAATGAGGATTGGCTTATGTAGAAGAACACTCAAGACACAATTGTGGCGGTGCCCACAACTGAAGAGAACATTAAAGGCATAGGTGATTAGGCTGTGTGTGTGGCTTAATTTGTGTGGCATAGCATGGTAACGAAGGGAGTACCATACATGGTTTCTAGAGCGGTGAGGTTGCAGATGGATGGAGGGAGTCTCCCCGTGAGCTGGTTGTCAGACACAGACCTGCCAGCATGGTATGGTATGGTACAATGTGGTATGGCGTGGTACAGCGTGGTATCGCATTGTACAGTGTGGTGTGGCATGGTACAGCATGGTGTGGCATGGTATGATCCTGCATTGCAAGGCTCGGTGGTTTAAATCATCTTACAGCGTACGAAGATTGACGAGGGCACCAAGACCAGCCGGTAAGGAGCCTGCGATGCTGTTGAATGCAACGTCTCTGATGGGGGTGGTTGGGAAACAAATAACGAAGAAAGATGGGTGGCGCATGGAAGACGAGAAACCGTATTAACTAGGCAAGTTGAGAAAATATGAGAAGGGAAAGCCTTAACTCGGGTATCCACTGCTGTAGCAAACTTAAGGAGTGAGAAGTGAGCGGTGGTGGGATTAAAAAAGCATGTGACAACAAGGGGTCTAGATGTGAATTACATGGCCTCTAGATCAGTCAAGGTGGTAAGAGCCGTAGGAAAGGGTCCCGATAGATGGTTGTTGGCCAGTGATCTGCAAAGTGATGTTGTGTGAGAGCGGACACATGCGAGGCCGATGGAACGATATATAGAGTCGAAATATAGTGGCGTAACACTTCACAGTATTTATGGAGTCGAAATATAGTGGCGTGTTTTGGAGTCATCCCCTGTTTACGAAATGTTCAACTTCCCTTGTGATATCCTGGCCATGGCTATGGTTTGCTTTGCAGTGAGTTGGTCATATGATGCAGATGGTGAGATGGTGAGATGGTGAAATGATGAGATGGTGAGATGGTGACATGGTTACATGGTGACATGGTGACATGGTGACATGGTGAGATGGTGAGATGGTGAGATGGTGAGATGGCGAGATGGTGCTGATGGTGAGATGGTGAGATGGTGAGATGATGAGATGGTGACATGGTGAGATGGTGAGATGATGAGATGGTGACATGGTGACATGGTGACATGGTTACATGGTTACATGGTGACATGGTGACATGGTGACATGGTGACATGGTGAGATGGTGAGATGGTGAGATGGTGAGATGGTGAGATGGTGAGATGGTGAGATGGTGAAATGATGAGATGGTGACATGGTGACATGGTTACATGGTTACATGGTTACATGGTTACATGGTTACATGGTGACATGGTGACATGGTGAGATGGTGAGATGGTGAGATGGTGAGATGGTGAGATGGTGAGACGGTGAGATGGTGAAATGGTGAGATGGTGAAATGATGAGATGGTGACATGGTGACATGGTGACATGGTTACATGGTTACATGGTTACATGGTGACATGGTGACATGGTGAGATGGTGAGATGGTGAGTTGGTGAGATGGTGAGATGGTGCTGATGGTGAGATGGTGACATGGTGACATGGTGAGATGGTGAGATGATGCTGATGGTGAGATGGTGAGATGGTGAAATGGTGAGATGGTGACATGGTGACATGGTGACATGGTTACATGGCTACGTGGTGACATGGTGACATGGTTACATGGCTACATGGTGACATGGTGACATGGTGAGATGGTGAGATGGTGAGATGGTGCTGATGGTGAGATGGTGAGATGGTGACATGGTGAGATGGTGAGATGGTGAGACGGTGGGATGGTGAAATGGTGAGATGGTGAAATGGTGAGATGGTGAGATGGTGACATGGTGACATGGTGACATGGCTCTCACATGATGTTGAGGGACGTCAGTGTGCTGATTGATTGCGGTATGGTCCCTGTAAGGTTATTATCCCCTAGAAGCCTGGAATCGGATGGGAGAAGTGGGAGACGGAAAAATTCATATAACTCAACTATATTCACTCTGCTCAAGGACTTGATAGAACGATTCAGCTGTCGCATCTGAAATAATCATCTGCTTTTGAGTCGACTCAAAATCTGACATAATCATGCACAAACAGCAATCCATGCTATGCTATGCTATGCTGCCACCCTCGCCCTAACGTACAAGCGCTGTACAGAGGTGTTCCATTGTGCAAAATCAGGAAGAGGGCCCGAGATCCCGTTCCCTTGAAGGTTCCTGTCAAACAGTGAACCTCGAAGGTCGAAGACATGATTAAGTTGGGAATAAAAATCACATGTGCTTGAATAAGATCAGCCAGTAAGTAACCCATATTAGCCACACAAATGTTCTCAACTCAACCTGTGGCGAATCATGCAAGCAAGCATACAATAAGCCTAGGGACGCTGTTGCTAGTGTGCTTGGCAGACGCCCACTGAAACGGTTGTTGTTTAAAATCCTGAAGAGTATATCAAGCACGAAGGAGTAGAGACAGAGTGGGAAACCAGAAGAAGCGGAAGAGTTGCGGACAGTAAGGCCAAGGATCTGCAAAGACGAAGCCCGTGTGTACGAATACAGATGCACGCCCATGCATGGAGCTGCTTAGAAGATGCAAACAAGTGATCCGGACTACTGCTTGCTGGAGTCACCGAAGCACAAATATATGGTCTGACTGACTCAGCATGCCACATGGCGAAAAGTGACTCCACTTTTGTGATATCTTGACTCCGCATTAGTACGAGGCTGGAGGGAGTCGAGAGCACAAGGTGGAAGGGAGGACAACGAAAGGGAGGAGAGGGTGGAGGCAACGAAAGGGTGGAGGCAAGGAACGGAGGGGGACGAGCAGGCAGAGTGCATGTTGTTCCTCACAGGTCATCAAGGTTCATCAGGGAGAAGAGGCCGAGAGGGTTCTCGCCATAAAAGCCGTTCTCACTAAGATCTCTGGAGAGGACGGGGATGCGGAAACGTAACGAGGGGACAGCAGGGAGAGAAGGAGGCGGTGGGAGCGGGAGTTGAAGATGAGAGTGAGGGAAAGATGAGGTTTAGGGACAAAGATCAGAAATGAATTTTCTAAAAAAAATCTTGCCCCAGCATGAGCCATGAACAGGCTTCTTTCACACACGTGTGGATGTCAGTCAGAGAGCTTTACGGCTAAGACACGAAACGAGTGTTGGTAAAGACACACATACAGGCGCATCAGATTGCTGAGCTTGGATAAATCGCTGGGAATGGGCCCATAGAGCTCGTTCTGGCCGATATCCCTGCATAAGAGAGAAAAGGGGAGAGGAAGAGAAAAGGGGAGAGGAAGAGAAAAGGGGAGAGGAAGAGGGAGAGGGGAAGGAGAAAGGGGTGCGGAAGGGGAAGGGAGGTGGTGAGGGTGAGGAAAGACGCGTCATTAAGCAAGAAATATGAGGGTGAGGGTGAGGAAAGACGTGGTGAGGTGAGGGTGGAAGGTAATCCACACAGTTGCATACAAAGTGCAACTGGAAGCAGCTGGATTAGACGTGGGAGGAGGACATGTGGGTGAGTGAGGGGCGTGCAACGTTGTGAGGTGCACGCTGTACGTGGGAGGGGAGGACATGTGGATGTGTGCCATGTGTAGCTAGTCTTCACGTACAGAGCCATAAGACTGGTGAGCTTCAGCAGGACAGTAGGGAACGGCCCTTGTAAATGGTTGCCTGCAACTGCCCTGCGCGATTACAACAGGGGGTGCCACGCAAAGCTTTTTTGAGAACTCTCAAAAACACACTGCGATTACCACAGGGGATGTCACGCGAAGCAAATCAACACACAGACGGGGAAAATCAATGGCCCGGAGCACCAAGGTGATGCCTGGACGGTGGACCTGGGCATTAGCATACTTATGAGCTTTCACTCTCACACCAGCTAGCATAGCAATAAGATGTGGCAGGAATAGAGCACAAGTATGAGGCAAAGCAAGCCTTAGAGAGACAACAGGAATAGAGAAGGTAATATGCACTTCAGCGAATGGAGGACAGCTCACAGCAACATGAGAGAAGGCAGCGATGAAAGGTCGGGGAAACCACTCGAGAAGCTGTTGAAGGAAATGTCCCTGCGACAAAAGGAGGAGAAAACAAGCCCATACAGAGACGCATTATGAATAATACATGAGATTTTGAGAGAGCTACATAGAAAAGCGAAGCATATGAGATTCAAACTCGGTTTTCACACAGTAGGGGCAATCAATGAGCCATAATGGATGCTGACGCGCTGGAGCGTGGAAGCGGACGAGACGAGGTTAGTAGGAGGATGGACCATTTGGAAGATTGTAACAACGACAAGGTGAATCAAAGACACCAAACAAGTTGGAATCTAGCAGAAAGTAAGACATGGGCAGAGAACGGAGCTGAGGAGAGCTCGCTCACACTTCCAATAGAGGTGACAGATATACTCCTTAGAACGTTACACTGCGCCATCTGAAGGAAAAACGTAAATTTTCAGGGGATTGAAAATATGTATGGACTACGCTGTTACAATGCATCGAGCCATGTCATCCTCTCGACCACCTCAAGCCCTGACGTCAGCTGGTTGCTTGAGAGGAACCTGAAACATGCAACAAGCAGGACAAGGAACAAGAAGGATGTGAAGGGAGTGATGTGAGGGAGAAAAGGTGGAGGATGTGGGGAGGGGGAAGGAAGAGCTAGAGGCTTGGGGGGCGGGGGGGGAAGGGGGACGGATGGAGGGAAGAGGGAGGGGGGATTATAAGCACCTTATCACCTACCATAGTATGTCTCCGATGTGCATGCACACAGGTATGTATGCATGCTTGCTTAGTGCAGCACATGCATGCACGTGCCCTTCCTGGATCGACGCACGCATGCCCAGCTCTGAGCTGCAACCTCGTACTCTTGGAGTGATAGCAGCAGCCATCGTCAAAGGGTGCCACACCTCCCGCTTTAGCAGTTCCAGAGAAGTACGTCGGCGGCGGCTTTGCACCAGCATCAACGTACATCTCCTCCTGTGTACAAGCGGGCGCCTTTCACCGTGCCATAAGGCAAGCAGAAATGCTACATCCGCATTCAATGGCTGTCCCTGCACTGCTTTTGTTACACCTTCCTAACCAGGATTAGACATGGGCAGATTAAATCGCATCGCATCGCATCCCATCACTTTTAATCGCGTTTTTGCTATTGTGATGTTTTTTTTTTTTTTTCAAATTCATCGCTCAATGCAATGTTTTTTTTTATCGCTCGATTTAATTTAAATCGCGTTTTAATCGCGCTGAAAATCGTGACTAAAATGCGATTTTCGATTTTTTTAAATCGCGCACGATTTCGAAATACCACGTGGGCTAGCACATGTCCTAAACCAAATACTGAACCGAATTATTTATCTAAAATACCGGCCACGACTGCCCTTGATCCAAAATCCCATCGGTGTTGGTTTTTTTTATCCGGTTTTCTGAGGTGTTTTTTTTTATTGAAGTAAAATACGATGCGATTTAAAATCGCATCGCGCGATTTGAATAAACATCGTGCCCAAAATGCGATGTGCGATTTATTTTTTTCACGAAATTAAATCGCGCGATGCGATTTTAAATCGCTTCGCATTTTTTTAAATCGCACCCCTGTGCGATGCGATTTAAATCGCAATCGCATTTTGATCATGTCTAACCGGGATTTTTGTGTTACGTTATCAAAAATCCTACTTCGGCCTTCTCTACATTCCTTGACTATCCACACTCCAAAGCTTTTGCTCCTGGAACATTGATAACTGCATCTATTGTGCATCATATGCAAATATAAACTAGCATAAGATAAGTAAAAAAACGGGGGGTTAAAGTTAACAGAGGGGTCAGGCCAGGCCAGGCCATACAGTTGAGAGAAGCCTGTGAGGTTTGTTAGAGACTCAGGAATAGCCCCTGTGAAATTGTTGTTTGACAGGTCCCTGGCACCACAAGTAGAGGTTGGAGGTAATATGAATCTTCTGAAAACGCTTGACATTGACTAAACTCAGTTTAAGGAGCAGGTGCAAAAGCAGGTACAGAATAAATATGTGCAGTGAAGTTTTATAGGTGTAACTACATCGTAATAACAGCGGTGAAAGGGGAATAGACAAAATATACAGTCCAAGATTCAACAATTACGATGCCCTTCATCCCAATGGATAAATTCCCCGTAAAGTAAGATGCGAATTTATGTGTGGGGGGGGCACCATGTGGTGTGGGTGGGGCACCATGTGGTGTGGGTGGGGCACCATGTGGTGTGGGTGGGGCACCATGTGGTGTGGGTGGGGCACCATGTGGTGTGGGTGGGGCACCATGTGGTGTGGGTGGGGCACCATGTGGTGTGGGTGGGGCACCATGTGGTGTGGGTGGGGCACCATGTGGTGTGGGTGGGGCATCATGTGGTGTGGGTGGGGCTCTATCCACACCCTGCAAACTTTCCACTGCACGGCTGCCTTGACATGCTTAGAAGCCACATTGACCACTAGCCACACAGTCAGGAGGCCCATTCTCTGGGCTTAAGATGCCATCGCATCCTTCCACCCGGTATTGGGTGACAGAGATGGCTTAAGGCCAACCAGTTCTGATCAAAATAAGACGCAAGGACACAGCACGAATTCGATCATATCGCAGTGAGTACTCACAGGCGCGTGAGGCCAGTGAGGGAGCCGAGGAAGGGAGGAATGGGGCCAGAGAAGTGATTGATTCCAACATCACTGCAAGGAAGTTCCAAGGGAAATGGACGGTGCTCCAGTTAAAAGGCTCTGTTAAGGTTTAGGAAGAGAATTCTAAAAAGGTATAAAATGGGAACTAGCTAGTGAGGTCTGAATGAAAGGGGATACAAGATATAGAAGGTCGGGGTGAAAACCCCTACAACATCTAAGGCCACTGAAGACAGTGTTCAGCCTATATTTCAGCGTGACATGAGCTGAAACAGAACCTTAGACCAAAACTGCGCTTACACAAGCCCTCAAAACAACTGAAGCTAGGAGAAGGGCAGGGCAAACAGTAGGAGGCGAGCAGAAGAACAAAATGCAAACCCAACCCAAGGGCATAACTCATAGAAGGGGAGGTAATGCTGTGCATCCGACCATGGATGGAGGCCAACAGCCAGAAGCGGAATGGCTTTTGATTGGTCACCGGAAGTACATACAGGCTGCAGAGGGCAGTGGAGAAGACGGGTGGGATGGTGCCATCCATCCTGTTGTATTGCAGGTCGCTGAAGTGAAGAGGGCAGAGACATGGAAAGCTTGCCTGTTGAAAATGAGGACAGTAATTACAGAATGAAGGGGTGTTGCAGGACGGAAAATGAATGCACAAATATGTGATGTGAAGTGCGTACAGGACGAGACAAACACAAGAAATAAGAAAAAGCCCAGCCCACTCATCAAAAGGGGGAAAATATTTTTCGTCACGCACGTGCGAAAAGATCAGGTCATGCGTGTCCACAAGGTTCCGATTGGAAGTGTCCTTTGCATTGCACAATCCGGGCTGCTTGCTTACAGCGTGATTAATGAGGTGAGGGCGGAGAATGTGGCTGGAATGGAGCCCTCAATCTTGTTCTGTGAAAGCGACCTGTGGAACAAATGACAAGGGAGACAAGACAGAAAGGGTTGCCATCCACAGAGAGAGGAATGACACAAGAGGCCGAGGCACCAAGGCAGGCAAGGCACCAAGGTAAGGCACCGAGGCATCGAGGCACCAAGGCAAGGCACCAAGGCAAGGCACCGAGGCAAGGCACCAAGGCAAGGCACCGAGGCAAGGCACCGAGGCAAGGCACCGAGGCACCAAGGCACCAAGGCACCAAGGCAAGGCACAGAGGCACCAAGGCACGAAGGATCCAAGGCACCGAGGCACCGAGTCTCCAAGGCACGAAAACACCTAGGCACCGAGGCTTTAATGCACCAAGGCAGAAAGGCACCGACGCACCAAGGCACACCAAGGCACGGTGTGAAAAAAGCTTGGGCTGTCGTGAGCTGAAGCAATACGTTTTAGAGAATATGGCATGCATGGAACAATGCAACGAGAGGTCACGAACAAGGATATACAGTCGGAGGTCATGGCCTTTGGTGCAATGGCTGCTACACCCACCAACAGGTGGACGCGGGACTTGCTCTTTGTTGATAAACATGATGCACCTGGGACGGATGCACCTGGCAACAATGCTCTTGGGAACAATGCTCCAAGGAACATGCACCTGGGCACCACGATTTTGGGAAAATCGCACCAGGTCTTTGCTAATTAAATCACATGGTGGAAAATGGGGTCTCACAAATAGGTGAGGTGGTTCAGAGAGGTCCAGTATTCAGGGAGAGCACCAACGAGTCCGTTGCCCGATGCATCACTGAAAATCGGGGGGAGACTCTCACAAGGCTATAAGCAATTTGCTTCCTTGGCAAGTTACTTACACCACTCGCAGATGGGGCTTGCATCATTGTTGGTAAACATTTGCACTCAAGCCGTTGCGGAATCTTTCACTGGCCATTCATGGTAGGGAGTGCCCTCTCCTTGTGGCTCTTACCATTCAAGTGTACGGGTCCCTTCCCTTGCCTTCTCTAGCACAAACATACGCTGGTTTGACTCAAAATCCGCATCATTCCTCAAGGTAGACAAGACAGCACATCCCGACCAATGGGCTCTATCTACCTATGCTCCATCCTTCCAGTTAGTCACTTACCCCCGAAATAATACCTTCCTCAATTCCCCCACCGCCAATCTTCCTCCTCCTCCCACCGCTCCACCTCTTCCTCTCACGCTTTGCTTCCCACATACATCCAGCAATCATCCATCAACCAACCCCAGTATGCACTGTTTGCCTTGACCCTCAAGGGAAGAAATATATCCACCTAGAATGGATTTTTCCCCGGTCAACAATTTGCTTTACCACCCTTCAAGTTTCTCCAATCTCTGCGTTGCTCAAAATCCTTGAGTAATCCTGCAGGATATCTCCAACGCCACGTGAACAAGTGAGCTCGTTCTAAGGCGCCTCTAACTAAACTAGTCTCCACCACCTTCTTCTGATCTGATGGCGTCAATGATTCGAGGGCCTTCACTGGAATGGCTTCTAGAGACATGACATGCATCCCAACCAACACACAAGGAGAAGCGGAAATGGGAACTAGGCGCACTCACAAGTACTGCAGTTTGGAGAGGCGGGACAGGTCTTGCGGCACGACTCCACTCCGATAGTCCCTTCTGTGAACTACATTGCTGGCAATGGGTGGACCGAATTGGAATGAAGCCCAAAGGTCGCGAATGCGAGACAACGCGAGGGAGAGAGAGAGGGAGGACATTTAGTTTGTGCATTTCCGAGTGCATTTAGTCTACAACCAGTGCAAGGACTTTGCAAAAGAACGAGTGCGGTGCGGCACACGTACAGGTATTGCAAGGCTGTCAGCTCCATAACCCATCGAGGGAACTGAGAGGTTGATATACCGGACAAATCCCTGATGTATGTGATGACAGACGCATACAAACAAGCACGATGAATCAATGCAAGACTACACACACATGCAATCGAGGGAAACGAATTTCGTAATAGCAGGTGCGCACTGTAAGATGGCGATACAGGGACAAAAATGTAAGTGATGCATAGGCACTCAGAACTAGAAAGGAAGGGAGTTTCTGCAGAAGGAAAGAAGGAGAAATTGGTTGGGTTGGGTCCCTAAGCCACCATTACTGGCTCCACCAATAAGTTGGGTTGGCTAAATCATTGGGCTGTCCAAAAATCTTGGCCGATATTGTTGTTGGTCCCACAGATTGAGCCCCCCAACCTTTGGAGGCCAATAACGGCCTAGTAGGGAATCCAAAACCTTTTGGGAACCCGACCCCAAGTAGGTGGTTGTTAACCCAGGTACACCCTTAAACATCCTAGGGCCTAGGCTGGCTGTCGCTACCCAAGAATACTAGGATGGTAGAATACGGATATATATGCTAACAAAAAAGAGTCCAGCAAGCAGCCAACAGCACTGAAATGGGCACCATGTGACGGTTGCCTCCAGTTTTGACCAGAGTTCAGAAACAGCAAATGCATAAGACATGGTTTGCCCAGACACGATGGTGAGAGCCAGAGCGCTTGCTCTGGGTTCAGCAAACACAATCCAGCCACTTGATCCCAAAACACACCTACTTCCACGTTCCTTAATTCTGCTGTTTGTATCGGGTCTTGTTTCCACTACTTGGTAGAATCACTCGGGGGGCTATATTGTAAGATCATGTCAGCTAGATGGATTCAGCAGAAGCAGCAACAAATGCATGTCAAGGAGGGAAGGCTGGGGAAGAGGGAGCCCACAGATAGGTGAGGGAGGTGAGGGAGCCGAGCAAAGCAGGCAGCTCCCCGGTCCAAACGACATTCGAAATGGTGCTGCAAGGATAAGGAGGTCAGGATAAGTAGTACAAAAGGTGAGGCAAAAACCCTCCGGACAAGAACATGGTATAAAATTCTGTGGGCAAGTTTGACAGCCTGCAGCAATGCCTTTTCCTTAAATGCGCATTGCTTGCTTGCAGGCAGATGTATTTACACCCTCCTTGGGTGCTCGAAAATACTGCAGCAGTGCGTCTTCTCTTGAATGAATGTCCAGCTAAAGGTAGATGCGTTTGAAAGTCTGTGGCCAAACTTGTAAACATCTGCAACCTTAAAGCTCTGGAGCAAAAAAAAATGTTTATTAAGCTTACAGGCTTTGCATGGCTTTAAGCGCGGTGAGAAAGGTGAGGGCTGACAAATCTCCATTCACACCCAGCATAAAATCCATCTCACTGGTATGGCGTCATCAAGGGTACAAGGGACATAAATAAATAAAAAGAGCTGCATGGCTATCGTGTTACACTCCTATGCTGAACAGCGATGGGAGAGGACACCGTAACTGAGGATTTCGACAAAAATTATGAATGGCAAATGGCATGCAAGGGAGTCTAACCAGAAGAAAGAATCAGAAGTATGGGAAAGAGTTCCTAACGTGAGAGAGCGAGTGTGTGGTTCTTTCAGGTTTAATCAACATCAACATGCATGCTTGATGTTAGGATATGTAGGACTGAAGGGGGGGGCACGTGCGTTGGCTTGGCATGCATGAATGACCATGGTAGGTTAGGCCAACCAAGGACATGGTCATTCGTTGCCAGGATATGAGATCCACATGCCATGGTCTGCACGAATGACCATGCATGTGATCCACGTGCCATGGTCTGCACGAATGACCATGGCACGTGCGTTGGCTTGGCATGCATGAATGACCACAATAGGTTAGGCCCCCTGCGTATATCGGTTCCAACCAAGGCATACAGACAGACTGCTCTGCACACAAGAGCGATCCACATAGTGTGCGCAAGCACGGAGCATGGCACATAGTGCCTCTTTCAAATGGGCTCCAGGGCATACCGTGTCTGTATGCAGGGAGGAAGGAAATTTTTTAGTCGACTCAAAAATCACCTTCGGCATACCGTGTCTGTATGCAGGGAGGAAGGAGGCCTACAGAGTGTGCAGGTTGGTGAGGCTTGAGAGCCATGAGAGGTCCTCCACTCGCCCAGTGATGTTCTCTGCACCGATGTTGCTGCGAGAAAGGAGGAGGGGGGTTGGGAGTTCGAGGTGGGAGGAGAGAGTGAGGAAGAAAAAATACAGATGAAGGCACGAAATACGAAAATCAAGGGAAAGCCCAACTCGTTCGGGCATAAGGGGGGAATCTTACAGGTATGTGAGGCGAGAGAGACGCGCGAGAGTGGATGGCAAGCTTCCAGCAATGGAAGTACGAGAAATGTCTCTGGATGTAGCAGAGTGGTTGGGAGTTGGACAGGAAAAGGAAGTGGAGCAGCGACCAGGTGTCCTTAGAGATAGGAGAGGCACAGAGGGGGTGAAAGCGAACGGCTCTCAAGAGCCAACCACCCTGAGAGTGAGTGCCGTGGGCTGGGTTCTCCAATAGAAATCAGCTCCCATCAATCAAGATACATAGCGTCTATCTCTTGGCACAAATGGCACGGCATGTGTGCTGTGCTTGGGCTCCAAATGGCATGTGCATGTTGGGGGCGCCTCAAAAATAGACTCCTCACTTCAGGTCAGTGTATGCGGTCCTCAAACTGTCAGAGAATGTGTCTTAGGGCTCCACGTGGCATCTGCGTTTGGTTGGGCTCCACGTGGGATGTGTGTTTGGGGCATGGCATGTGTGTTTGGGGCATGGTATGCGTGTTTGGGGCATGGTATGCGTGTTTGGGGCATGGCATGCGTGTTTGGGGCATGGCATGTGTGTTTGGGGCATGGCATGTGTGTTTGGGGCATGGCATGTGTGTTTGGGGCATGGCATGCGTGTTTGGGGCATGGCATGCGTGTTTGGGGCATGGCATGTGTGTTTGGGACATGGCATGTGCGTTTGGGTGGGACATGGCATGTGCGTGTGCACTCACAGGTGTGCGAGAGCTGAGAGCGAGAGAATGGTGGATGGTAAAGAACCAGAAACCTCAGTACGAGACAAGTCCCTGCAGCCAGTTTCATCAGGGAGTTAGGAAGGGATGGGTGAGATGAGATGGAGAAGGGTAGCTGGTGAGGGTGGGTGGAGAATCAAATAGAGGCTGCGCGTGTGGAGGAAGGATGGGTAAAGGTGAAGAGGCGTTGGTGCAAGATAGGAGTCTAGTTTTGAGGCGCCTCAAAACTAGCTGCACGTGTGGAGGAAGGATGGGTAAAGGTGATGCAAGGAGGCGTTGGTGGAAGGAAAAAGAACTTGTCCTTTTGAGGAGGCTTGAGGCTGTTGACACCCCCGTAAGAGAGAGGATAGACGCAGTATGTTGTTTCCACGTGCAAAATAGCACGGAATATGCTTCTTAAGGTCGCTCACCAATCACTTTCAAGACTAGGATGATTGCCACTCTGGCTCAGGTAGCAAACATTGAGCAGATTGCAACATACCCGCCACACACACCAAGGCGTGCAGGAATTAATCAAGGGTTTCACTAATCAAAAAGCAGGATACCTTGGCATCAGAGGTAGTGGTGCACAAGAGAAGGGTATGCAAGAAAAGGAATAGCACATGCCTCAAAGAGAGCATGACTTGTGTGTAGAATCAGCAAAGGCTTGTCAGCGCTGCTTGCTGCTGTCCCGTGGTCCACGGCAAACGGCTGGCAACAAGCACTGTGGTCAACGTGCTCTTGAAAAGATCCAGGGTTTAGGGTCCTGAGTAAGGCGAACCCGGGTCAGAGCTCATGTGGTGGATTCACCAATGCCACCATGCCACCCATACCAACCATGCCACCCATACCAACCATGCCACCCATACCAACCATGCCACCCATACCAACCATGCCACCCATGCCAACCATGCCACCCATACCAACCATGCAACCCATACCACCCATGTCACCCATACCACTGATACCAACCATGCCACCCATACCACCCTTATCACCCATGCCACCCATGCCACCCATACCACCCATGCAACTCATACCACCCATGCAACCCATGCCACCCATGCCACCCATACCACCCATGCAACCCATACCACCCATGCCGCCATGCCACCCATACCACCCACCCATGCAACCCATACCAACCATGCCACCCATGCCAACCATGCCACCCATACCAACCATGCCACCCATACCACCTATGCCACCTATACCAACCATGCCACCCATACCACCCATGCAACCCATACCACCCATGCCGCCATGCCACCCATACCACCCACCCATGCAACCCATACCAACCATGCCACCCATGCCAACCATGCCACCCATACCAACCATGCCACCCATACCACCTATGCCACCTATACCAACCATGCCACCCATACCACCCATGCAACCCATACCACCCATGCCACCCATACCACCCATGCAACCCATACCACCCATGCAACACATACCACCCATGCAACCCATACCACTCACGCCACCCAAGCCACATTTTTCACTCGTAGTCCTGCCTGCGGCCTTATCAGTGCATGGGGATGCGCAGACGAGCGGACACAAGGTAGAGGGCACAGAAATGAGCCCGCGCAGGTAGGGGGAAACTCACAGCACGCGCAGGGAGGGGGGCAGAGAGAGGGCAGTGATGGATCCGGAGAGAATGTTGCTTGCCAGCACACTGACAGGCAGGGGCGGGAGGAGGGTAGGGAGGGGGAAAAAGGGGGGGAAAGAAGGGGTCAGGTGGAAGGGGTGGGGGAGAAGGAGGAGGAGGAGGAGGGGGAGGGGGAGGGGGAGGGGGAGGGGGAGAGAGGAGGAAGAATAGCACAGGTCAGGGGAGATACTACACCAGCTTCTGAACCACCGTACTATGTGTAAAAGAACAGAGGTCTGGAGAATCGAGGGCATGACAAACAGGAGGAAGGGGGCGGGGGGAGGGGAAGGGGGGCTCGGGGGATGGGGAGGAAGGACGGGCGAGCACAGGGTAGTTGAAGAGGCAAGAACGTTGAATGGTGACTTGGAGGATAAGAGAAAGAACAAGTGCTAGAGATCTGGATAAGAGAAACGGAGAAGACTGACGGAAAGCGGAAGTGGAAAATGCAAGGGCTTACAGGCGTCTGAGGTAAGGCATGTTAGAGAAGAGAGTGAGAGGCATGGTGGCATTGATAGCGAGATCAGTCAAGTCACTGCAGCAAGCAAGGCATCGGATCAAAGAAACGCAACAAAAGCATGCACAGGCTTCGAGGAGACGAATGCATGGATGCACGCATGAGTAGAGATGCACACGGACACATACATAACCACATAACCACACTTACTTACGCAATCACTCACACACACACACACACTCTCGCACACGCATGCAGGAATCCGGCACGAGCACTTGGTGGAGCTGAGGCAACAGAGATGCAGACAAGACAATCCATCTGAACCGAAGATACCACACTTATTCCCTGCACTTCCCTGTAAGCTTCCGGCACAACGATCCGCAAGCGATCTCACTGCCTCACACGACCCCAGAACAGCCACAAATGGGCCCTGCATCCGTCCCTCGTGCCTGCCCTCCTCTCCCTCCCTCTTGCCTACCTACCTTCCTTCCCCAGACCAGAGCAACGTACAGGGCGGTGACGAAGCCCTGCCGGCTGCACTGCACGTGGTCCCACTGGTCGCAGCGGCGTGAGCGGTTGGAGTTGGTGGGCCAGAGGTGCCAGGCGGCGTTGAGGTCCAGCAGCGCACGCACTGGCAGCACGCAGCACGCAGCACGCAACACGCAACACGCGGCACGCATGGCACGCAGCACGCTTGGCACGGCCGGCACATAGAGAGGAACGCATGCAAGCAAAGCACAACAATATAAGAGCCCAAGAAAAGCAATGTTAGCGGCCAGTTGTTGAGCATGCGGCGATAGAAGAAGAATCAGTCCAGAACGAGTGAGACGGAATAGGTAGGGGAAATGGGTGTGGGGATGAGGGAAAAACTTTTGAGGCGCCTCAAAAGTCGAAATGGGTGTGGGGATGAGGGAAAACAGGGCGGCCGAGGAGAAGGGTGCGCAGCAGCAAGGCAAAGAGCACAGGGAGACACAGGGGAAGCAGCAGGTATGGGTGGGACTCACGCTGGCTGTCAGCGAGCAGCGGTGGCGTCTCCCGCGAAGGGGCTGCCTCAAGGAGGCTGATGCGAGGCTGATCGTTCGCTCCATGCGAACCACGCGACACGTGCGACACGTGCGACCATTCACGCGCGTCGCTAAATTGCGGGCGATTTATCAGCCAGTTCACCCCGGTAATCCCCGAGGTCGAATGGTTGAGAGGGAAGGCGGCGGAGAGGAGAGAATGCGGTAAGAGGACGAGTAGCAGAGCGACGGGACGGAATGCCGCCGCTGACCGATACGGGTAGCTGTCTGAAGGTGAGCGCTGGTGGAAATTCTGGCGGAAATTCTGGCGGGAACTGTGAGACGGCCGCGGACGCCGCGCCATGATGACGTGCGAATGGTACTTTTTATGTCAACGGTTTTTCGTCAACTTGGAATTGTCGGCTGTGAGAATCCCCTATTCCCTCGTGAGGTTTGGCCTATCATTTCGGATGATTCGTGTGATTTTTCCTGCGCGCACCCAGAGACTCAGGTGTGGTGTGGGCTATCCGGGAGTTCATGTTAGTATGTTAGTGGGGTGAATACACCTGTTCTCCTCGATCGTTCCACCCGGAACAGTCTAAATTGCAATCCCACCCACCAGGCTCTCAGCATGACTTGCGTTGACGCTGAACCTGATTGGCTGCATCCTGAACGATAACGAACAGTCAAGCCGTGTTTCGACAATTGCGAGAATCTGAGCCAGGAGGTCGCGCATGCAAATTACCTAGCGCATTAGCGCGAATTTGTAACTGAGTGACAGCTGTTACTGCTGGTTATCCCCTTCAATGTCCCGTTTGCCCGGGTTTGAGCCTTTTTCCGCTTACAGGCTCGAGCCGCGTGGAAAAGCCGTGGGACCCAATAGGAGAAAAGGTTTACTAACATAATTCACTCCGCCCATACCCGCCGTGTTGTGGTCCTCCGAAGCAAATATTGAAAAGACCAACCGCGCGATGGATTCTCGCTCAAAAACACACCCAACCGTTTCATATCGTCGCGAACCACGCATTCGCTCCAGCACAGCACAGCCATAATTCAACGCAACAACCACGACAACAACCGCAGCAGTTTTGAGACGCCTCAAAACTAGACTCCGCAAGCCGCGCTTTCGCTCCAGCACAGCATAGCAGCTATGATTCTACGCAACAACCACGGCGACAGCCGCGCCAGCCGCAGAAGCAGCGGTCGAGAGAGGGAGGAGGGTGAGGAGGGAACAGGACTGTCTGCTAGAGAGGAGAAGGAGGTGGTGGAGGAGAAGGAGGTGGTGGAGGAGAAGGAGGTGGAGGAGGAAAAGGGTCCATGTGATACGAGATTTACCATCGGAATCAGCGGGTTTAGTGAGATCAACGGGATTCGCGGGATCGGCGGGATCGGCGGGAATAGTGGGAATAGCGTTACCAGCTGTTTGGGCGTGGAGAGCATAGCAGCACGTGTCGCTCGGCTCTCCGCCATGGCGTCGGCGGCAGAGAGCCTCGCACTCTCGCTCGCACGCCGCTTCCACTGGCCGCTCCCTCCCGCTTTCAAACCCCCTCCTCTCCCTCCCGTTTCACGCGCCTCTCAAACGAGTAATGCTCCCGGAACCATCCCTGTGCCCCTCGTCCTCCCGTTTCCCCCGTCTCCCTCCCCTGTAAACCTCATGACCGACTATGGAGGCAGTATCTTGGAGGATGGGAGGAGGAACAAGAGGAGGAGGAGGGGAGTGGGAGGAGGGAGGGAGGGTGCAGCGGAGAGGGCGTGTGGGTGCGAGAGCGAGCAGGCGTTCTTCTATGAAGGCGCGCCTGCTGTTGTGAGAGTGGGGGGGGCAGGTGTGGGTGGTGGTGCGGTGGACTTGCTGCCGGGTGCTCTGTCCGTGGATAGGTTACTGGGAAGTGACGTGGCAGGTGTCGTGGCGGCACCTGATGTGGCAGGTGATGCGGCGCGTGACAGGGCATGTGATGGGACACTGGGAGAACTGATACCGGCAGACAAGCACATGCCTGCAAAAGCAGGAGCAGGAGGGACTACAGGGATTAGCAAAGAAGCGCGTTTCCGGCCCTCCCCCCGCTCCCCTCCGCCCTTCTCCTCTCTCTCCCTGGTCGCTCGTCCCCCTGCCATGCCGCCCGTATCTCTCCTCGCCTCCCTCCCCCCGGCATCCATGGCTGCCCTTGCCTGCGCGGAGGTGAGGGGCTGGTTGCATGGCCCTCACATGCAGTCATGGGCGCCACAGTCACAGCCGCTACTGTCAGAGCCACTACAATCACAGCCACTACAATCACAGGCTCCACAGGCATACTCACCCATACTGGCGTTCCTTCTGCCACAGCTGCTCTTGATGCCTCGTCTGGTGCAATCAGACAGACATCCTCACTACCAGAAACAGCAGCAGCAACAGCATTATTACCACCACCACCACCACCACCGCCACCACCAGCGCCGGCACCAGCATTCCATCTTTGCCCTTAGCAGGCACGTTCGGCATGTGTCGGCCCAACATGGGCTGGGCTGGTGCCGCCATGTCAGTGCTCAGGTGGCAAAGCTGATCGCCAGGTGTCTGCGTGTGATTGGAGATGAGGCACAGGCACTGCTGATAGCAGCAGAGGACGGAGGAGTAGGCCAATTCCCTGGAGGGGAGGAAGGAGAAGCATTCACTGCAGGATCTTCTTCTATAGTAGATAGCGTATCACCAACGGTTGAGGAGATAAACGCAACCACCAACACCACGATACCCTCTCAAACCCCTCCTCCTCCCCCTCCACCTCTTCCTCCTGCTGCACGTGCCACCGTCCCGTGCCCTCTTCTCTCCCACACGCTCAAATGGCTGGGAGCAGTGCTGTCCAAGGGCATCAGCAGCCGCGGTTCCGGTACCGTTGCGTCCTCTAGCAGTGGTGGTGTTGGCTCCGTTGCTGCTGGGAGGGTGAGCGAGAATGGTAGCTGGGAGGGTGAGGTGCCAGATGCGGAAGTAGAGCAGCGAGGGCCGGGGGGGCAGGTGGAGGGAGCAGCACCGGGGAAAGAAGAAGAGGGTGCCTTGGCAGGGCTGCAGCTGGTTACAGCTGTGGTTGTGGACGTGCTGTGCTGTGCCATAGACACGTGGTGGAAAGCACAGGTGGCGCAAGGACAGGTGGCTTCAGAGTCGTGGTGTTGCGAGGACGATCAATGGGGCAAGGTGGCGGAGAGAAGCAGCAGGGGCGGGCTGGAGAACAAGGGGGGGAAGAGGGGGGGAGGAGGAGGGTTTGAGGAGAGAGTGGATGGGGAGGATGGTTTTGATCTAGCAAGGAAGGTGGTGGGAGTGGAGGGAGATGAGGAGAGGGAGGATGGAGATGGGGGATTGGAGGAAGAAGAGGAGGAGGGGGAGGAGGAGGAAGAGGAAGGTGATGAGGGGGAGGGGAAGGGAGAGGAGGAGAGGGAGTGTGCAGAGGGGACGGGTAAAGCAGAGAAGCTTCTGGGAAGCCTGGTCATGGAGAGAATGGCGGCTGATGTGGTTCAGTCGTTGCGGACTCTGGAGGGGAATCGAAGATGCACACATGCAGTGCAGAGCGCATTGCATGCAAGGTCGGCTTGCTGGTCCCTCGCTCTCTTTCACACGGAAGCACACACATGCACACACACGCACGCCCCCCCCCCCGCGCGTGCCCACACACACACACACACACACACACACACACAGATACAGACACGTATTGAAAAGGAAAAGCTACACAACCTTCCTTGAAAGCGCTAGATTCTAACCTGTTCCGTGCATCCCTCCGCCTCCCTTCCATCCTCTCTTTCTCAGACCATACCCTCTCTCCTCCCTCTCGCCCATCCTTCCCTTCGCTTCCTGCTCCGCCCGTCCCCCTTTCCCTTCCCCTATTCCTCCTCCCCCCCATCCCCCTTTCCCTTCTCTTCCTTTCCACCCCCCATCAGGTCACCTGCCTCCCGTCTTCAAGATTACACCGCTGGCGTGGCACTTTCAGCAGCCAATCGCAGCTCTCGCTCTGATTTCCGGCCTCTTTTGGACTTCGACGCTGTTCCGCTAGTCAAGCCTTCACCTTTCCTGGTGGGTGCCCCTGCTGCCACTGTGGCGGCGGCTGCTGCTGCTGCCGCTGCTGCGACTGCTGCTACTGCTTCTTCTCCTTCCACTCGCGCCCTTTCTTCTCGTTCTCCCCCTCCCATCCCATGCCTCCCATCCCATGCCTCCCATCCCATGCCTCCCATCCCATGCCTCCCCTCACATGCCTCGCTCCCTCTCTCCCCCGCTGCACTCTTCAACCCTCCTCAAATCCTCAAGTTCCCTCCGATTCGTTCTCTCCTCCATTCTCTCATTTCTTTCCTCTCCCTTCTTTCCTCTCCTCTCTCTCCTCTCCTTTCTTTCCTCTCCATCTCTCCGCTCCTTTCCTTCCTCTCCTTTCCTTCCTCTCCTTTGTTTCCTCTCATTTCTTTCCTCTCCTCCTCTCCTTTCTTTCCTCTCCTTCTCTCTCCGCCGCTCCACGACCCTCCGTCTCTCCCTCACTTCTTCTCCCGGCTACACCTCTCTCCCTCCCTGCGTTACAGCCACACAGCCATGGGAGCGCACCCACACAGGCCACGGCGCGTGGTCAGGATGTCAAGAGGCGCAGAACCAAGTACAGGTCACAGGGTAGAGGAAGATCGCAGCACGAGGTGGGCATGTGTCACCGCCCCTTTGCTTTACACTGTGTGTGTGCCTTCGCGCATGTGTGTGTGAATGGGTAGGTTTGTGGGCGGGTGGGTGGGTGGGTCGGTCGGTCGGTGGGTGGGATGCTGTGCTGTTTAAGGCCTGCGTGTATTTGCATATGCAGAATCAACCAATGGCCCATCACTCCGATTCGCTCCAATTTGCAATGATGTGCTATGACGTCCCCATGCAAAGCTTCCACACACCCATCCATCCATCCTCACACCCCTGGCCTGGCCTGGCATCCATCTGTTGATCCTGTTCAGGCATGGCGCGCCACCATAGGCGCTAGCAGGAGTCTATTTTGGGGCGCCTAAAAAAAAAAGACTCCTCTCACCCCTGGCCTGGCCCTGCATCCATCTGCATCCATCTGCATCCATCTGCGTCCATCTGCATCCATCTGCATCCATCTGCGTCCATCCGTTGATCCTCTTCAGGTATGGCGCACCATCATAGACGCCAACATGCATGCGATCCGAGAAGCAGGTGGTATCGGCTGCTTCGCTGCTTCTGCTGCTGCTGATGCTGGTGCTGCTGGTGGTGCTGCTGCTGCTGCTGCTGCTGCTGCTCCTCCCACCGCTACTACCCGTCCTGCCTCTCATCCTCCTCCCTCCACTGCTCCTGTAGGGGTTGCAACAAGTTCCGCTTGCCTTTTCCACGCTCCAGTGTCTGCTGCTCCTCCGCTGCCCTCTGCACCTGTTGCCACTTGGCCCACGCACACACCGTGTGCCAGTGCTGGTGACTATACTGGGAATCCCCAGGGAGCGAGAAGAGCTGCGAGGGGTAGGGAGGAGGAAGGGAGCAGGGAGGAGAGCGTTCAGGAGGATAGGAGGGCGAGAGGAGAGAGTAGATCAGATTCAAGGGAGAGAGGGGAGAGAGTAGGGGATGGAAGGAAGGTGAATCGGAGAAGGGAGGGGTTTGAGAGGGGGGAGAGAAGGGAGGGGCTTGAGACAAGGGAGGAGAGAAGGGAGGGGCTTGAGACGAGGGAGTACAGGGAACGTAAGAGGAGGAAAGGGAGTGTAGAAGTGATTCAAGAGGATGGTGTGACACTAGGGGATGAATGTGGAGCAGGAGAAAGGAACAGGGGTTGGAGTGGAAGGAGGAGGTACAAAGAAATGAAAGAGCGGGAACAGCAGGGGCAGCAGCAGGAGGAGGAGGAGGAGAAGAAGATGAGAGGCAGAAGGGCGGAGAGAGCCCTAGGGACAGAGGAGCTGAAAGAGAGTGGGAGGGGCCGAGGGGAAGGCAGTGGGAGACAGAGGCGACATGAATGGGTGGTTGACGACCGGAAGGGTGGAGAAAGGGACTTGAAAAGGGATGATGGTGGGAGGGATGCTGGGAGGGATGGTGGGAAGGAGCATGGGAAGGATGGCAGGAGGGATAGGTCAAGAGATGGTGGGAAGGATGGTGGGAGACATGGTAGAAGGGATGGTGAGGTGCGTGTTCGATGGGAGAATGGGCGACATGCATGGGATCAGCGAGATTGGAAGCCTAGTAGAGATGAGATGGATGATGCTGGGCGTTATAGGGATGAAAGGGACGATGCTGGGCGCCATAGTGATGACGGTGGGAGACACAGGCTCAGGCACAGGGGCTCGCAAGGCACAAGAGAATCAGGGGGTGTTGGGAGAGATATGGAGCGGTGGGAACCCATGGGGGAGGATAATGAGCTAGGGGAGAGGTGAGAGGGAGGGAATATGTGGAACGGAGGGGGTTGATGGGGAGCAGGGCCTCAGATTACAGGCTTTATACCCTGATTCAGGGTAAAATCAGGGTGTTTTTTACGGGTGACCCTGATGAGACAGGGTTTTTCTTTAACACGGGCCTGAAATTTCAGCGTTTTTTTAGAAGTGAACCCTGATCGATCAGCGTGCCTAGTGTAGTGAGGCCTGTTTTTCCAGCGTCGCATTCGGGACCGACCCTGGATACTCTCAGAAACTTAGGAGTCTAGGTTCCTAAAGTTAGGACACTAGCTTAGCTAGGAATGACGCCATGGAATGGTGGGAGAAAAGTAGATCTAGGAACGTGAGTAGTGAGGAGAGATGTCGAGAAGAAAGGTGAATTGAAAAGAAAGAGGCATACAAGAAGGGGTGTTGTACCCTCTACAGCAGTATTCAGTAATAGTATACCAAGCCTATAAATTATAACAAATAATTTTAACACACCCCCTAGGCTTGGTAGTGTCAAGCCCACACACACCCACACCACACACACACCCCCCCTAACCTAGCACCCCACTACCCTGCAGCAGCAGCGGCTGTTGACAACCCGGTAGACCTCTCCGCGGGCGGGGCGGCGACAACAGCTACGAGGGTGCGGTGGCGACGACGGCAGCGGCGGAAGTGACAACAGCAGCGGCGGCGGCGGCGTGCGGCGGCAAGTAGGCCAGCGGCAACAGCGGCGGCGGCGGGGGCTTCGACACAAGCAGCGGCGGCGGCGGCGCTCGCCCCACTCGGTGGCGTGGCCAGGTTCCGCAACGGTGGGACGGCCGGTGCAAGGCAGCCATCGGCTGCGGCGAGTAAGAGGGGATGCAGGGGACGGGGGCAGGGCTGCAGCAGCACAGGTGTGGCGCGACAAAGTGCGTGTGTGCTGGCCAGCGCTAAGGCCGAGCGCTGGCCGCATGTCGCCACAACAGCACGACGAGACGGTCGCGGCGGTACGACACGACCGGGACGACGTCAGCGCGACGCCACAGTTGCGTGTCGAGACGGCCGCGGCAGGACGGCGCAGCCGGCGACAAGACGACGCCGCCACAGCATGACGCCCCCGCGGCCGCCATGGCAGCGTGTGGAAAAGGAGAGGAAAGCGCGGCGGAATCGTGAGGAGCAAGCCCGCTAGGAGCGGACAGCTCTGATACCATCTCATAAACTTAGGAGTCTAGGTTCCTAAAGTTAGGACACTAGCTTAGCTAGGAATGACGCCATGGAATGGTGGGAGAAAAGTAGATCTAGGAACGTGAGTAGTGAGGAGAGATGTCGAGAAGAAAGGTGAATTGAAAAGAAGACAGAGGCATACAAGAAGGGGTGTTCTACCCTCTACAGCAGTATTCAGTAATAGTTTACCAAGTCTATAAATTATAACTTCAATCATTTTAACAGATACGTGTAAGGGCGTGGTATTTCGGGAAAACATGCCCAAGTTGCGTAACTCGGGAAGCGTAATTCGCGAAATCCGTCCTGGTGAGTGCAACCCGATGCTGGAACCTCGTATTGCGCTTTTCGGGCGGAATCGCAACTCATTTGGAACATTGGGTTGCGTTCAGGGCCTCAGATTCGTTTTGGGGCACACTGATCGCTCAGGGTCCCCCCCTCGTAGCTCCCTGTTTTTTCAGGCCTCGCAAAAAAATTTACGCTGATCAATCAGGGTGTTGTATAAATTTTGCGCTGAATAAACAGGGTCAACTACAGAAAACACGCTCTTTGAAACCGGACGGCATAATAGCAGAGGGGGGTCCCTTTTGACTGTTGAGTGGGTGCGAAAAAACGAAGTCCCGAAACCTAGCGAAAAAACGAAGCATCCCAGTGCCCCAAATTTTGGTTGCGCGAGTGTTTTAGCCAATGTGGGCTCGAGGCGAAAAACTACTACAGCCTGGCGCGTCGTGCAGCCCCCCTGCAACATTGTCGCTGGCCACGTGGGCCTCTGCTTTTTCTGCAGGGGGGGTTCAAGAGGGACCCCCCTCCGCTATTCCTGTTTTTCGTGCATTCCCTGTGCGAAAATGAAGTGGGGCCCCACTTGATGACCAAGAAACAGACCCCCCCCCCCACTTGGGGCTCGGAATCCGCTATTACATATAGTATCATTATCGGTCCCCAATACGTCGCTGGAAAAACCGGCCTCACTACACTAGTCACGCTGATCGATCAGAGTTCACTTCTAAAAAAACGCTGAAATTTCAGGCCCGTGTTAAAAAAAAAACCCTATCTCATCAAGGTCACCCAAAAAAAACCCCTGATTTTACCCTGAATCAGGGTAAAAAGCCTGTAATCTGAGGCCCTGGTTGCGTTGCACTCGAAGAATACGAAGTGCCTGAAATGGAACACCAAACATCTGTTACCATACCATACTTCTGGAGCGAAAATCAGTTTTCGCATTGTGATTTGCTGCTTTCGGGCATACCGGCGCGAAGCCATCAAATTTTGAGAGCTGTGCAACCCGCGTTGCGCATCTCTCTCAGTCTGTTTGCCAAATTGTTTGACGATATTCACGAAAACCGATACTTCCGCGAATTGCGCAACTCGGCCAAGTTGCGCAACCTAGATTTTGCCGAAGTATCACGCCCTAATAGCGGATTTCGAGCCCAAGCCCCCCCACCCGTGATTTCCGTGATTTCCCTCGCCAACTTGACTGTGACCGACCAAGACTGTGATCATGACCTGTTACAAATAATGGCATGTGGTATTTGAACAGCGTGTTTTCTGTAGTTGAGCCTGTTTATTCAGCACAATTTTTTTACAATACCCTGATTGATCAGCGTAAATTTTTTTGAGAGGCCTGAAAAAAAAGGGAGCTGAAGGGGGGGGACCCTGAGCGATCAGCGTGCCCCAAAACGAATCTGAGGCCCTGATGGGGAGTGCATCGGTGAGGGTGGATGGGGTGAGGTGGAAAGTGCATGTGGATGCAGGGAGATGAATATGTGGTACGACAGACGAGTTCAGGGAAAAAGTGTCAAACATATTTGTATCTGTTGCAATATACTAGATAGGGTCATGCCTTAACGAGTATGACATTTTATGTCAAAACCACCATGTAGGTACTACCGTAATCTCCCGGCATGATGACCCTAGGTCAAATGAAAAATTCAGTGAAAATCGTTTGGGTGGACATTTTAAATGATGGTAATTAATAAGACCCATGTGCAGTTATTTATTACGTAAGGTGTTTTTTTGGTCACATGTTCTGGTATTCCAATCCAATCAGGGTTATACAGGGGGTCATTTGTTTCAAACGGGGGACAGTAGGTTCTTAGCCTCGTTTTGTCCGAGCCATATAGATGGACACGCGTCAGTTTCTTAGCACCAACGGCTGGCAACTTTACAGCACTGGCGCGTCGCGCGGGCTTCTTGACGGCCAGCAGGAGTCATTACTGTTAGAATACGTGAATGATTACTAGAAGGAGAACCTAGAACATATACCTGTTGGGTTGTACTCAATAGAAGCACACACCTAGTCTAGCCTATAACTTCTACATAGAACATATGTATAAGTTGACACACCCCCTAGGCTAGATAAGGGGTGGTGCTAAGCAAGAAGCACACAGCTCAGGGTGGCACTACTAATCCAACCACTGAGGCAGGGGTCCGGAGACCAGTCAGCAAGAGTACAAACAAGTCTAAAGCAAGCCAGGGCGGCACTACTAGTCCAGCCACTGGAGGTAAGGCCACAAGGCCAGTCAGACAGGTATATATAGTAGGGAGTACACAATCAGGGTCCTAACAAGTGAGAAGCTACAGGAACAAGACCAAGCTGTACACAGTGCCGCTGATGATCTTTAGGCGCAAGCGCTTTAGTAAAGATATCAGTTGTGTTGGCACCGGAGGCCAAGTGAACTACACGGACCTGGCGACGCTGCTGTAACTCGCGCAGGAGGAAGTACCGCAGCTGGATATGCTTCGCTCTACCCTCAAGCCGAGGCTCCTGACACAGGAGGATCATGGCCCTGTTGCCAGCGTACAGGACCGGGGCAGAGCTAGGCCGCTCACCTAAGTCAGTGAGCAAGAAGGTCAGCCAGCGGAGCTCCTGTGCCGCCATGGCACCAGCATAGATCTCAGCCTCACAGCTGGACTGAGCAACAGACGACGAGCGAGTGGATCTCCAAGAGATAGCACCCGAACCAAGGCTAAAACAGTAGCCCTGAGACGACCTGAGAGTCTCAGAGTCATCTGCGCAAGAAGCGTCTGTGTGCCTAGTGAGAACCACCGGCCTGCGTCCTCCTAGCACTAACCCCATGCCCGATGTACTTGCTAGATATCGCAAAACCCTCTTAGCGGCCGACCAGTGCTGTGGCCGGTGTCTGCCAGTGGCCACAAAGCGAGCCAGGATGCTGAGAGGGTATGCAAGATCTGGGCGAGTGCAAGTCATCAGGAACATGAGGCAATCCACCAGCTCAGCGTAGGGTCCACTGGGCTCTACAGGCTCCGCAAGAACTGGAGCAGAGAGCCCATGGTCTACAGGTAGAGGTGTGGGCTGTGCGGAGGAGAACTGAAGACCGAACCTCTGAAGGACCTGACGCACCAAGTGTGACAGTGTCAGAGTGATGGTGCGTGCTGCTCTGTCCCTGGAGATCTGCAGGCCAAGATAGCAATGCAGCTCTCCAAGGTCAGTGCAGGTGTGTCTCTTCAGCAGCTCGGCCTTCACAGAGGCCAGTGCGTCCCTGTCAGCAGTAGCAAAGACCAGGTCGTCTACGTAGACAAGGATGTAGAACGGAGTCTGGTCGGAACGCACAAACAGCGAAGGGTCAGCAGAGGACGGAGAGAACTGCAAGTCTGCTAACGTGGCACGCAGCGTGTCGTGCCACTCGTAAGGAGCCTGACGCAGGCTGTAGACCGGGCGCCGGAGAAGCCACTGGGTCCCAGGGGGAAAGGTACCAGTGAAGCCCTGAGGTCGACGCAGGTAGACGTGCTCGTGTAGGCTGCCCTGAAGAAAGGCAGTAGAGAAGTCAAGGGAGTGAAGCTCGTAGTCGCGCTATGCTACTATGTGTAGCAGCGCCCGAAGAGTGGTCATCTTCGGGGTCGGGGCGAAGGTCTGGAAGAAGTCAACCCCCTCGCGCTGGCTGAAGCCTCTGGCCACGTAGCGCGCCTTGAAGACAGGCGGCTCTCCAGGGGGGCGCTTCACCTTGAAGGGCCACCAACCATCGACTACGTTCACCCCAGGTGGGGGAATTGCGTCGACGTAAGTGCCGGTGGACCTCCAAGATGCCATCTCCTGCTCCATGGCAGCTATCCACTGAGAGGCCCAGGGTCCCGAGGTGGCCTCAGCGTAGGTGCGAGGGGTCGGGATGTCAAAGGTGTCTGGGTCACCCTCTGGGACTAGGAGCATGGAGCAAAGATGGGGAGCGGCCTCAGAAAGGAAAGCAAGCTCGTACTGCCTGTCCTGTAGTACGTCACTGCCAAGGGCAGGTGCACCCCCGACGGGCGCACGACGGGCAGGGTCAGAGACCAGAGCGGTAGCGTAGTCAAGGCGGCGGGTAGAGGCGAAGTCAGTGACAGCAGCAACAAGCGCGTCAAGGCAGGAGACAGGAACAGACGGGTCTGTAACAAGAGAGGCAAGAACCCGAGGGACAAGGGGACTAGCGGCACGGAGGTAGTTAGACGGCGGGGGAGGTGCAACAACGAGCGACGAGGGAGGAGGCGAGGGGAGAAGGGGAGGACGAGACGAGTGAGAACGGAGTAACATAGGATGGGATCGCGGGACAGGGGAGACGGGACGAGCACGGGAAGGACGGCGAGACCAAACGTGGAACGGAGGTGTAAGGTCAGGAGACAGCGGAGGTGACACAAGGGGGGAACGAGGAGGAAGACGGGCCGGAGAAGATTCCGGGGGCGGGAACACAGGGCCGTAGGCAGGAAAGTGAGGAGGAGGTGGGGGAGACACCGGCGAGCGGTCAGGGGAGGGAAGGCCGAGCAGGCGAAGAGCGGAGACCGGCGGCGACGACTGCGGCGGCTGCTGCGGAGGCTGGTGCTCGACCCTCGCGCAAACTGCTCCTCGGCTACCTCCGGAACACTCCACTCCTGCACCCCTAGAAGGAACACCCCCAGAGCCCGAAACCCCGCGAGCACCGGTACCACCCCCAGGACCACAGAGCCACGACAGGAACCCCAGGGCGAGCACCCACCCCAACGCGAGCACCCCCAGAGTCGACGAACTGCAGCTGCGACAGCGGCGGCGGCGGTAAAGACGGGTGAAGCGGCGGCGGCGGCGGAGACGACGGCTGCGACAGCAGAGGCGGCGGCGACGGCAGAGGCCGTGGAGGAGGAGACACCTGGGGGGGGGGCAAACAACGA